CAGGCAGTGGTCCAGAATCCAAAGCAGCTGGAGCTGGCAGCAGATTCAGAGTGGGGTCTCCAGACACCTTCACGCCTGGGATTCCCCCTTCCACCGCCACTTCCACTTCTGCCGCCATCCGCTGGTGCAAATGTAGGAGAGGGATTTTTTCAGAAACTGTTCCCAGACTGTAAACTCTTTCCTGCAGGACTTCTCTCTTTTTAAAATTTTTAATGGTTTCAAAGGGATTTTATTTACTACCTTTTAATAATTAATATGTTTGTTTTTAATAGTGTCATGTATTAATGAAATTCTCTCTCTCTCTCTCGCTCTCTCTCTCTCTCGCTCTCTCTCTCTCTCGCTCTCTCTCTCTCTCGCTCTCTCTCTCTCTCGCTCTCTCTCTCTCTCGCTCTCTCTCTCTCTCGCTCTCTCTCTCTCTCGCTCTCTCTCTCTGTGTGTGTGTGTGTGAGAGAGAGAGAGAGAGAGAGCAGGATAGTCATCATCCTTGCTAATTATGGAAGAAAGGCTCAAGTTCTTCAGGCAACATGACCAGGTCAGGGTGTCCTGATTACAGGCATAGTTTCCACCACCCTGCAGAACGCAACAAATATACAGCCTATCAGACACCATTTAGTTGGCATCAGTCTTCTTAGACACATAGTGCTCAGACAAAAACCTGTACCAGCTGTTTAAGAAATGGAGGTGTTATGAAAGAGAAAATAAAGGAGACAGAAATACTTGTATTGCTCCTACATGAATGCAATCACAGATGCTGCATGAACCACTAAATCAAGAATGCTCAAAATGATTACAGTACCTCTGGAAGAGGACCCCAGGATTTTCACATTAATACTCAATGGAAAATACATTTAAACGTGCTTTAGACACTATATAACTTCTGGATCAATCTTGACATGTCTTTGGTGGAAATTTTTGAATTGGAGAATATTTAGGGAAAACTTTTAGTACCATAAAAGAATATGTGAGCTGATTTAGCAGTTTATTTAATTTGTTATGTTCCTTGAATACTCATGCCTGAAATATTTAAATCTGCCAGTTCTTTCTTCTTTCAGCAGCTTCATTACAATCATGCTATACATTAGCTTCTTTCTTTGAACAGGCATTATTATGCCCGTTTCTACAGATCTTATGCAAACACACTTGCAGCTTCCCATTCTCAAGAAAAAGCAAGACACTGCTGTTTGTTGAAAGTGAACAAAAATTAATCAAAGCTTTATTTTTTATATGAGCTGCACAACCAGAAGCTGAATTTAGAAATTTAGATTAGTTTGGATTGTTATGCACATTTATGGTTTTATTCTGACATCCCTGCTTTTAAATCAATAAAATAGGCATGTACCCTTTCTACCTAGAGATAATCACCTGGAAAACATTAATTACAATTTTGAAACAGCCAAACTTGCCTAATATTGTATTGGTATCCACTCTTTATTACTAATTTAGTTTTTAAAAATTGACTTTTTTAAAAAATGAGATTTTTTTCTCTAGAAGAGTAAACACTTGAAAAAACTGCATCCCATCTCACTGCTTGACATTACAAAAATGCATAGCATCAAGCAGGGTGGATCTAATTTAAATAAAACTATTTAAATCATGATTTAAATCACAATGTAAATTTAAACAAATCAGATTTTTGATTATTTAAATAATTTTTTTAAAAAATCGTGTTTTAAAAATCAATTTAAATCAATTTAAATCAATTTGATTCTTTTAAAAAATCATTGGTTTTACAAGGGGGTGCTGATAAGTATTGAGACTTAACCAGAAAAAAATCTGTTTGGGGAACAGATAATAGTCAGAAGGAGCCATCCTGGAATCTAGGTGGTAAGATGTTACTTACACTTATATCCTATCTTTCCTCCAAAAAGCTCAAGAAACTGGACATAGCTCTCATCTCACCTTCACTCTCCCAATAATCTTATGAATTAAAGCCAATCTAAAGAAAGAAACTGCACAGTTTCAGTCTGACAAATGCTACTGCCAGACTGAGACCTCATTGGAACATGAACTACGATATATGCATAGGCTTGAGTGTAAGGCTCACATGGAACAGATAACAGAGAATCACTGCTAGATCTGCTATTCTTTTTCAGGAACTTTGTAATATAAGGATTACTATATGGATATCAATAGAACTTATCCTTAACCACAGTAGAATCTTAATATAGGAATCAGACACCAAACACTCATAAGGAGACTTAAACCTGAGCAACACTAAGATATCACATGCTTAATGAACAAAAGGTTGAAACTAAAGCATGCAAATATTTTTGCTAAATTGTTAAAAAAAATTCCAGAAATATTGTTAGGTGATTGAGGGAATGTACTGCTAAAGAAGTATCATTACATTAGAGAAAAGTGAAGTTCACACTTTCATGTCATTCTACAGAACATATTGGTCAGATATGAAAGCTTTGACTATGGGTAAAGGAAAAGTGAGGAGGATAACAGACTAGATGGTGAGAACAGATCAACTTCTGCAACAAAATAAAATCAAAAAGTGATCCAATCTGAAACAGCAGATAATGGGGAGGCCTTAAAATAAATATGAAATAAAATTCAAGTTTTTGTTTTCTGTTTTTTAAATTATAATTTGTCACTAAAGTTCACCCTGTCACAGGAAGAAAATAAACCAACCAATATAACAACAGTTTTTAAAACATTGTAGGTGGACAGAAGGGCCAGATAATTGCACCCCAGTAAATCTAACATTTATATACAGTGGTGCCTCGCTAGACAATAATAATCCGTTCCACTGAAATAGCTGTTTAGAGAAATCATAGTCTAGCGAAAAGCATTTCCCTATTGGAATGCATTGAAACTAGTTATGGTTTTCTCTGAACTGGAAAATTACAAATTTAAAACAAGCCAATATATTGAATGACAATTTGAAGTTGGTTTAAAGTCCTGGGTTGTACTGAAGCTGTTAGCCAGTTTTATGGTTCTGATGAAACACCAGCCTATAGTACAGTGGGGTCTTGACTTAAGAACGGCTCGAGTTAAGAACATTTTGACTTAAGAACCACTCTCATAAGAAAATATTGACTTGACTTACATACTTAGATTTGAGTTAAGAACTGGAAAAAAACCACGTGGGAGGCAGGGAAAGTGCAAAATTTGAACTTTCAGTTAACTGTTGGCCAGTGAAAAGGGTGCCTGTCTGCTTCCTCACTCCTCCCAGCGTTTAGAGAGTGGATTGGGAGACAGTCTTCAGACTGCCTGGTACTGTACTGGCTGGACTGTATTTTCCCTGCCTTCCCTGAACCTTTCTTGACCTAAGAAAAAAAGAAACAAAATATCCCCCTCGAGTGGTCGAAGGCAGAATAGCAGCTTCCCATTAGTTTTTATGGACGGAAAAGAGCAGATACGGATCAAATGGTTTTCAATGTATTCCTATGGGAAATGCAGATTTGACCTGAGAACTTTTTGACTTGAGAACCGCCTTCTAATACGGATTAAGTTCTCAAGTCAAGACCCCACTGTAAGTGAATACTACCTGTGGGGTTTTTTTTCTTTATTCTCATGCACAGGAAAACTGAAGATATGAACACACTATCTCACAATATGCTCAACTCTTATTAAGCCAAAATATCATTGTCTGCATGCAGTCACTGAATTCTAATAGATGCTACACCTTACAGTGCGCTAAATGTAAGAAATTTACCACTTCAGTGAACACCTAAAATGAATGAGACATTGTTACAATCACTCATCAAAGGTAACTAAATGTGTCTCATTGTAAATGAGCCCCACTGCTGTTACTAATCTTCAGTCTAAAAAAAGAATGCAATAGTGGGGAGCAAAACACCAGCTGTTAGTGTACTGTAACCAAGCCTGCCAGGAGGCAATTTTCAAAGGCAATTCCTGCTGGAAGACAGTATGAATCAAAAATACAGTGGTGCCCCGCATAGCAACGTTAATCCGTTCCGGATTAATCATCGCTATCTGGAAACATCGCAATGCGGGGGGTGGGAACCCCATAGAAACGCATGGGGCGAAAACTCACCGTTATGCGAAGATCCTCCATAGCGCCGCCATTTTCGCCGCCTCAGTAAGCGAGGAAATCACGCGAAAATGGTTGCGGCGGCCATTTTGGGCACCCGGCGGCCATTTTGGAACTGCCGATCAGCTGTTCCGCAAACATCACAATGCGATGTTTAGGCTATTAAAACATCGCAATGCGATCCCAAAAAATAGATCGCTATGCGAATTCGTCGTTAAACGGTGCGCTCGTTATGTGAGGCACCACTGTATGCCTTACAACATTATTCTCTGCTTGAACCAAAATGTTCATTAAGGATTTGGTAAGCTTGCTGGAAATATTTGGACTATAATCACAGGTAATACTGATGGCACAGAAAGCTCTGCCAGTGCATTTTAGATGACAAAGATGATAAATGATCCAACAGTTTTGGGCTCCTGCAGAAAGCTGGCGTGAAGACTCCAGTACCCTCACCCCACCCAAAGAGTGGTCTTTTGGCTAGCAAGGGATGGGAGCTGCCACTTGTAAAACTGAGAAGCAACCATGCAAGGAGGTGTCAGAAAACTCCTTGGATGAGTTTTTTTAAAAAGTTAAACAATGCTCATGAGACAAGGGATTGTGCACATGTAAACCCCCCAAGAGAAGCCTCACCTTGATCAGCAAAGAGTTCTAGCTGGAACTATACCACAAGAGCTAGGTAGCAAAAGGGAAGAGGATATTCAGCTTAATGACAATGACACAGAAAAACAGTTCAAATTTCTGGTCTCTCATAAAAACAGATCTGAGTCTCTCAGCTCAGGAGACCTAGATTTCTCTGTGCATATTTGTTCTTCATGCAAAGAAGCAGCAAGATGGAGCACCAAGTGAAAATGAAGTCAAAAAGCAAATATTGTTTCTAACAGATCACAATTTCAAAACAGATTAGAATCCATGGATTTTGCAGCACACCATAACACTCTTTATGCATACTCACCAGCTCAACAGCAACAGAAACAAATAACATAAAAGTCACACCTACCTAACATCATTGCCTCCATGAGCAAAAGACCCAAAGCAAGCCGTAAGGATCTGGAGAAAATGAAAGAGCAGGTGGACTTGTGAGGAGTCTGTCTCATCTCTCTCTTCTTCTACAGGATCCTCAGTTGGATGGGCAGGAGCCACTAACTCAGAGGCCAATTTCATCTCCACACCACCTTCATCCGCTTCAATTTCTGCTTCTGCCACAGCATTGCAATAGCTGGAATAGCTGTCATAACGAACTCTCTTTTTTGAATAAGACACCGTGTCAGTAACTAGCTTTTCACTATCTTCTGCAGCCGACACATCAACAGCCTTGAAGGACGAATGCACTGGCATCCCACATATGGCAGCAGTATAACACGTATAGCTGTTGTTGCGCCGCAATAACTTGTAGTTATTTTCTTGTGTTGGTCTGTCGTCAGCACCTCTGTCTAAGTGTATTTTGTGCAGTAAGTCTTTGTACAATCCTGAGTCTTTGTGCACAGTGTGATATACATGTATATCACTCTTCATTTGGCTATCAAAATTAAATGTGCCATTGGAAATTGGAGATTTCACCATGCTGTGGGTCATGGAAAATGCCCTTCCTGAAACAGCAGAGAAAATAATTTTTGAAAATACATCCAAAACTCATAGGGAGCAGAATACTGACGTTCCTAGTATTATTTCTCTATTTTCTTAGTTCACACCAGCATCTAATGTGCCATCGGCAGCAAATCATTCTGCAGTTTGAGGGAACGGGAGAAAAAGAATGAGACTCTTTGAATTTGCCTGACTATCTGCAAAACTCTTCTGCTTTGCACTCCAGCAGCAGCCAAATGGTGCTTCTCTGTGTGAAGAAAAAGACTTTTCCATCAGTCTGCTTGGTCAACTACTCACCCTAGCTTTCCCTGAATGATTTTGTTTATTTGTTTGTTTCCCTCCCTGACGTGGCTTGCCTTGATTTTTATATAGTACAATGGCACCATCACTGTTATTTCAAGTTAGTGGCAGATGATGGTGATGAAGACAACATGATGACAACAATGACAAAAGTAATATGACTGTTACTGTATTAGTATTTTGACAGCCCTGCTTATTAAAAACATTCTGGACTTTACCCTTTATCATGTCCCTCCAATTCACCAGGGCTTGTCTGCACAGAGAGCTGTCAAAAGCAGGGGCAAAGCCAGCAGCTAGTTGATATACTTACTGCTGCTGTACAGTTTCTTCTTCTGTTAAGTTTCCAAGTTATGGGGACATTAATTAATGGAATAACAGATAATTCAATCCAAACTGATAGACTGAGGAAGGTGGCGAGGGAACTGGCTGGGGCATAAGAAGTTGTTGATTGCTTGGGTGGTGATGAAGGAAGTTTAGGTGAGAGGGAGGTGCAGGAATTGAAAGGTTTGATGGAGGGAAGGGACTTGATCTGAGTAGGATAGAAGCTATTACTCCACTCCTATATTATTTAGAGAAGATCATGTTAAAAAGCGATTGTATGTAAGAAAGCTTTGCAATGAATTTAAAGATGGGCATAGAACTGACCCATATGAGGAATCCCAGCTATATCATTCATTAACAAAAGCCATGGTGAAGTTTAAGAGCAGCTATCTGAGAAAAAGTGCTGCAGAACATACATGTACACTGGGTTTTTTTAAAGAAACAATTATGATGGCACAATAAATCTATGAGAACGCAAGAAAGAAGTACAGGAAACTTGATTTTGATTTATGCTGTACACCAGAAAGATAGATGAGCGACAGGAGGGTGCCAGGTCTGCTACAAGTGTTCTTTACACCCACGAAAACAGTCCACCAGAAAGTAGTTTGCAATAACCTGAAAACATAAGAAAGCATGAGTGTGCTCTTTGTTTCTCACCGTATGGCACGCGGGGATGACTTCCATTTGCTATACTGTCTGATGCACCAGCCTCCTCTGTTGCAGAAGCAGTGAGAGGAATGGTACTTTCATCAGTGGCTTTGGCACCAGGAAGTTCCTTAAAGACAGGCAAGTCTTCCTCTTGAATTTTATCAAGGCTTTCATCAGATATCTTTGATAATGCACCTTCTTTCTTTAACCGACCTGTGGGAAAACCAAAGTTGTGACTACAGAAGATGGTTCATTATCTATGTAATAGGTAATAAATCAGAACAGGCAAGCATATTCTAACACATATAAGCCAAACAGGGGAAAAAATTTAGAATGGCAGTGATTATCTTTTTCCTTTTTAAATTATTTCCTAGACTCCAATACATTTTGGCCCTCTGCAACTGTGGGGACCTTATTCTTGGGAAGTCCAGTGAAATTCCACAGCTTTTTAAAAAAAATTCAGTGATATTCCCCTGAGAAAGGCCCCAAATGTGGGCTCCAGAAAACAACAAAAATGGATTCTGCGAGTTTCCCTCCTTGATTTACACTATCTATGACAATTAATCAGACTGACTGTAGTGGTGCAGTGCTGTGCTTTTTAGTTTAGTAAGCTGTACACACATTACATATAACAATTAGTTATATCTATAAAATTTACCCATTTCAAAGAAGCAGAAAGACAGAAAGCTTTTTTCCACTGATATATCTGTCTAGCTTAGATCACTAAATTTTAACTTTAAGGCTGCTTGGATATTATTATAAAGTAAGAAAAATATTTTAGCTAAGACCCAAAGTGTAGTTCTTTCAGAACAAAGCGACCTTGGATAAATAGGAATTCTGTTTTTCAAGAATCCTCTCTCACAGGGTAAGCAATCTTTGAAATCAGTTAAAGGTACAATATAATAATATGTTCAAAGATTTTTTAAAGTAGAACTTTGGTTTACAGCTTGTTATATCTTAGAAGAAAACAAAACCAGAAGTTTTAAAAACACAAAGCAAACAAGTCATTTAATACTGTAGAAATTATTACTGTAATATTCTGAAAAATCAGTTGAAAGATTTTAAATGGGTTTTACCTCTCCCTGCTCCCAATACATACTTGCTATTTTTCGTTTCATCCATGGACAAACAAATATCCAGACTAAGGCAGCACATACTAGTGATACACCAATTGATATTAGTGCTATTGCCCACATAGGAAGAGTGATTCCTAAGACTGGAAAAAGGAGAAAATGGAATTTACTGCATTTTGGCTTGCAACCATTTATCACATTATGCATTTCCCCAAAACCTCAGGGAGAAACAAGTAAGGGGTAGGTATATTGAAAGGGTAAAACAATTACATCCTGAAGTCAGATCTCTGTTTGTATAACCTGATGATAAAGAACACTATTCTGTTCAAAGGCTTGGTGTTCCTGCAGAGACTTGGGGAAATGAATATGCTTCTGCTCCTTGTGGATCACATGAAGATTTGCTGCTACTACTGAACTCCATCAGACCCAATGTAAATTGTACAACTGCAATGGTGTCAACACGTGCCCCCTTACAGTTTTAACATGTTACAGTATGTTGTGGTGCTGTCTTAGTCCCAGAGGAAAAGAAAAGAAGGCTTTTAGTTTGTAAACATGCATAGTTTGGTTTATGTGAATTTTCTCCTTCTGGGAAACACAAAACCAGGGCAATGTTGAACATTTACACTTAGTTGTGCATCTAAGATTTCTACATGCTACTACTAAGAGTGAGCATCCAGTATAAATGTGACAAATACGTTTGGGGAAATGTACATTATACAGACACATTTGTCAAGGAGCGACAACTGGCTATAGTTCCACAAATCTGAATTTATTTTGTTTATAATGTGTGAACTGGTTCTGAGAGACCTGTGATGACTAGAATGAACACCCTGCAGCTAGTCTGCCATTTCTAGGAACTTTTACATGATACATCCTTTATGAAAGGGGAAACAGCAGTTAATCAAAGAGTCTACTATAATGGAGCCCCATGGTACAGTGGTTATACTGCAGTACTGCAGTCAAGCCTCTGCTCACAACCTGAGTTCAATCCTGACAGATTCAGGTAGTCAGCTCAAGGTTTACTCAGCCTTCCAATCCTTCCAAAGTTGATAAAACGAATACCGAGCTCACTGGGTGGCAAAGTGTTCCTTGCCTAATTATGTTGTAAACCACTTAGAGAATGCTTCAAAGTACTATGAAGTGGTATATAAGTCAGAACAATCAATCAATCATGGATCTTTTTTGCTCTTTTAACAATTAGTGGGCTGGATCCTATTTAGGCATGTACATCTGGCCTGGTGAAAATGGGTGTCTTTGCCTCTTTCTCACCATGGCAGTCTCCAGAAAATGCTACACAGAAGGCAAGGGGCCCTGCTTGATAGAATGAAACTGTGATGCAGAGGGAAGTGGGATTCTCAAAACCACCTTCCATTTGTATAAAGCAAATCCTGGATCCAACCCATCAAGTATAGAAAATATAAATATTCAATGTACACTTTGACAGTAGACTTCATATGTGTGGTAGCACTCACCTGGGGCACCTGTATACATTATGGAGAACATATTAATTGTTATTGTAGCAGCATAGAACACTGGAAGGGCACGAAGGCCATTTGGTACAGGGTCTTCCTGCAAAAAAAAATCAAACAGGATGAAACATTAGAACACAGTCACAACAACAAACAATTTGAACAGACTCCAGTAAAGTTCCTCTGTTCTCCTACCTTGTACTTTGTAATAAACAACTATATTTACACAAACATATAAGTATAGATAATTAATACAAATTCTTGCAATGGAACAGGAAATATCTTACCATCAAGATTATCAACATAGTGTTTATGATGCTAGCAGATACTGGAAGACATCTTGGCTGTGTTCAGATATCACAATACATTCTACTCTCATCCTCCAGTACAGCTACAACAAAATCAGATGCTTCTGTTTTGATTAACCAGAAATTTACTGCATCTAACATGTGCTAAAACTGGAGTCCAGTTTTTGTTGAAACAAACTTTTTCCATAACCACGTCCAGAGAGCAACATTAACAGTTAGATATAATTGGAATGAGTTAGTTTTTTTAAATAATGGGAGAATAACTCCCTTTAATTTTTAGGGCGGATAATTCAGTTTAGTTTTTACTAACTTAAACTATGGGAGTTAAGTGGTTTTAAGTCATGCTGCAACTTAAACTGGCATACGTTATCTTACTACTATGAAGAAAGACTGAGAAGACTAAGAAACAGATTTGGAACTCTTGGGAAATCTCTGAATGAATGAAAATACTTGATGAAAACACAGATTAGATGCAACTGACATATAAATAATCCTATACATAAAGAGGGAAAGCACAGTAGGATTGACTTTTGAGTCATTCTGTACTGGTATGCAGTGTTAGGCAACTGCAATCTTGTGAATTTACTTTTTGGGAGTAAGCCTTGGAAGGGAGTGATTGGGTGCATTTTGCAGAACTTGAACAAATTAATACAAAGTTGGTAGCCAATCTGTCTTATCATGCAAGGTTAAAATATTCTAAATCAACAGCTTAGAATGAGGTGATGGTCTTTCTTCTTTGTATCAGGTTGGTATTTCTCTTTATGTTCTATCCTGACACCACATAGAGATTCCTCACCTGTCCCAGCAATCTGAATTTCAACTCACTGCAACTACTACTTGGATTAATTTAGGAATGCTGGATAGCTCAATGATTTAGGTATTTCGCTATTTTCCATCAACTAAACTGTTACTAATTTATGGTTGTTGTAGGTTTTTCAGGTTGTTTGGCCGTGTTCTTGTCTTCCTAACGTTTCGCCAGTCTCTGTGGCCGGCATCTTCAGAGGACAGGAGTCAGAACTCTGTCTGTGCTCTGTTGCAGTTTACAGGATAGTTGAGTATTCATAGCTGTAAAATCAGCTTTTTGTCCTTTTCGGGAGATTGGGTGATTATGGCGATCAGTGTGCTTTTTGTTGTGGGTGTATTGTTGTGATAAGGGGGAGAGATGATCTGTCACTGTGATTGATGGGTGTCGTTAGCTGGTCTTTTGTGTGCAATGCAGTCCTTGTGGCTGGGTAGAGTTTGTTGACTTTTTGCAAGCTGTATTTTTCAGTGCTGGGAGCCAGACTTTGTTGAGTTTTAGACTTTCTTCTTTTTTGTTGAAGCTCTGCTGGTGTTTGTGGATTTCAATGGCTTCCCTGTGCAGTCTAACATAATGCTTGCTGGTGTTGTCCAGTACTTCTGTTTTGAAATAGAATTTCATGTCCAGCTTGTTTCAAGGCATGTTCAGCTACTGCCGATTTTTCCGGTTGTTTTAGTCTGCAGTGTCTGTCATGTTCTTCGATTCTGGTGTGCATGCTGCGTTTTGTGGTTCCAATATATACCTGGCCACAATTGCAAGATATCCGGTATACTCCTGCAGTGTTGAGGGGGTCCCTTTTCTCCTTTGCATACTATAATATTTGTTGCATTTTTGTAGTGGGTCTGAACACTGTTTGTAGGTTGTATTTTTTTTCAAAAGTTTCCTCATGCGATCCATGACCCCTCTGATGTAAGGCAGAAATACTTTATTTGTGGATGGCTGTTTTTCCTCTTCAGTTTGGTGTTGTTTTCTTGGGTTGATAGCTCTTCTGATTTCATTCTTGGAATAGCCATTTGCCTGTAAAGCCCAATTCAGATGGTTGAGTTTGGTGTTGAGAAATTGAGCTTCACAGTTCCAATTTGCCCAGTCTACCAATGTTTTGATTGTGCCTCTTTTTTGTTGTGGGTGGTGGTTGTGTAGGTACCGGTCTGTGTGGGTGGGTTTTCTGTAGACCTTGTGTCCTGGGTACGTGGGACTAGTCAGCCTGGAAAGGCAGCCCATCTAGGAGAAGGAAAACTCTGATTTCAAACCTCCACTGCCTTGTGGCTATATCCACTGATGGAAAAGGCTTCAGGAGTTAACCTCGAGGCAAAATACGGAGCCAGAGTCCCGGAGGCAGTTCATGGCATTCTGCCAACTCCTGCGACATCACTGGAACCAATTGTATTGGCTCTTGCCTTTCCATTGGACTATTTCAGTGATGTGGAGAGGAGGGGATTTGCTGCTTGGGTAACAGCCTATCCTCCATATTATTTTACCCAGGCTTCATGCTCTGGAGAGGACACTCCAGCTTCGCATACAGCATTGAAGTCTTCCATACAGAGCACATTACCATAGTCTCTCAAGACTGAAGGATGCCTATGATGTGTCCCAATAGGAGGTCAGGTTTGCGTATGACCATGACATCTAAGAAATGGGAGTTGGTCCTCTCTTTCTTTTTCCATGGTGAATTGAATATTTGGGTGGCTGCTACTGAGATGGCTTAGAAATTCTTCCAGTTTTTCTTTACTGTGGTTCCAAATTGCGAAGGTGTCATCCACGTATCGAACCAGACTGTGGGTGCAAAGGGAACCAAAGCCAGGGCCTGTTTTTCAAAATGGTCCATTTACAACTTTGCTATAACTGGGCTGTGGGGGCTCCCCATGGCCACTCCATCTGTTTGTTTAGAGAAGTCATTATACCACTGAAAGTAGCTAGTTGTTAGGCAGTGTTGGAAAAAGGCCTTGATGTCTTCTGGAAAGTTCTGCTGGATAAGTGTCAGAGTGTCCTTTATCAGTACCTTGGTGAATAGGGATACTACTTCAAAGCTGATCAGTCTGTCCCTGGGGTTGAGTTTTAGGGTCCTGATCTTGTTTGTCTTGAGTCCTTGATGTAGGATGAGGTTGTCCATTGTGGGTCTGTAGGAGGGTGGCTAGGTATTTTGCTAATTCATATGTCGGGGAGCCGATGGCACTTACAATGGGCCTGAGTGGGATTGGGTCTTTCTGGATTTTGGGGGTCTGTATAGTCTTGGGTGGGAGAGCTTCTGTCTTGCAGATTCATTGAAGGATGTTGGGGTGCAGGGAGGAACTCCTTAACAGCATGTTTGTTTGTTTTGTGATTTTGTTGGTTGGGTCCCATTTCAGTTTTCTGTGGGTGGTGGGATCTAGAAGTTCCCTGATCTTGTATTTTTCTGTTTGCATGATTACTGTGGCGTTGCCTTTGTCTGCTAGCAGAATGATGATGTCAGGATCAGTGTTTAAGGACTTGAAAGCATTTCTCTCCTTTTTTGTTATGTTGCTGTTTGGGTTTTTTGCTTTTCATAGGATTCTTGTCACTTCACCCCTTATTTCTTCTGCTTTTTCTTCTGGAAGATGATATAATGCTGATTCCACATTGGCAATGATGTCTTCCACTTGAATTTTACTGGGTGTGACTGCGAAGTTTCCTCCTTTGGCTAAAACCGAGGTTTCTTCCGGGGAGAGCTGGCATTTAGATAGGTTGATGATGATGCGTGAGGTGTCTAGTGTAGGTTTCGGTTGACTTGTTTGGCATTTGTTGAATTTCTGTTTTTGTCTGGCTGTGTGATTCACCATTTCTTTTTCCATCTTTCTGTAGGAGAGGGTATCGATCTTGTCCCAATCATGACTTCTCATTTTTTGGCTGATATTGATGTGTACGTGCTGTTGAATCACAGCTGCAACCAGGAAAGTTAGAGCCGTCTGCAAATCCTAGTGCAGATCCTAGTGTGATTTCTTTATTTCTTTATTAGCTTGCCTTCTGTGGTGTCTCCTTATTAGATATTGAAGTGTAGGAATAGTAGTTCTTTGTGTGTGGATTCCTTTTTTTGGCGGGTTGTGTGGATTCTTTCCCGTAGGAGGGCATGTTCCAGGCAATCATAGATGCAGCTAGCCTGTGGGGAAGAATTTCCGGAAGAATTTCTAAACCATCTCAATAGCATCCACACGCTGATTGCCATAATCACCCATTCTTCTGAAAAAGGCAAAAATCTGATCCCACAGCTATAAATACTCAACTATCCCACAAACTGCACCAGAGCACAGAGTTCTGACTCCTGTTCTCTGAAGATGCTGACCAAAGAGACTGATGAAACGGTAGGAAGAAAAACCTTACGAGCATGGCCAAACAGCCTGAAAAACCTACAACTACCATCAGATCCTGGCTGTGAAAGCCTTCAAGAATACATTGTTACTAATTTAACTCCTCCAACAGTTAACTAAACTGTGAATCGTTTTCTATTAGTTTTCCAGTCTCTGCATATGAAATGAGGTTGGCTTAATTCAAATAAGCAAGCTGTGGGAATACATGTTTTGCATAGTGGAGTGTCTATTGGTTGCACTTATATTTGTCTTTCTTCCACTGAACATACTTGACTCTCCTGCTCTACCACATTATCCACATAACAATCAACCCTATGCTCTAAGAACTCAGTGCTTCTCAACCGTTTTTGAGTGGTGACCCCCTTTTATAGTAGCCAAGTAACCTGTGACCTTAACAGGCTCCAGGAGGTGGAGGCAATGAGGGCAAGTCAAAATTGGATTGTACTGGGGAAGGGTGAGTTTTCCCTCAGGAGGCTAAATGTCACCCTTTTTGTCTTCCATTCAAGTGCTGGCTCCACTTCCTCAGCCATCCCCTTAAGATGGTGGTAGTGGTGCGCAGCTGAAGTGAGAAGGGACCAAATTGTTTTGGCAGCAGCAGCCTTTTCCTCCTCTGCCACAATTTCTCCACTTCTCCCCTGCTGCTGCTGCTGCTCCCTCGCCTCTCAGGCCCTGCCATGGTCAGCCTGACTTGCAGGGGCTGCAGCTGGGCCCTCCCTACCACTCCTCCCCAGCTCATTCCCCCACCTAAGCCAGCCAGCCAGCCAGTCACCAGAGCTGAGAACGAGCCATCATTGCCACTGGAGAAAAGAGCAGGCACTATTCACACACACCCCGGGGCCAAGGAGCCCCACAGCAGGGAGCAAAGGCGGTGGTGGGTATAAACAAGGGAGGGGGCGGGCGTGAGCAGAAGGGAATAGGGAAAGGAGGTGCAAGTTGAGGGCAAGATGTCCCCCTCCAAAAAACGTAGTGACATCCCTGAAAACACTTTCCAATCCCCTTGGCAGTTGCAACCCATAGACTGGGAACCCATGCTCCAAACAGATGTATCTGCCCCCCTCCCAGGTTTTTTTTTAATTATTATCATTACCTGCTTTTTCTGGCAGGAAAAAAAAAGCAGAAATGCCACTCCTTTAAACTTTACGTTGTATTTTATTAAACAAGAAAAAAGAAATGTCATTCCTGGAAAGGCTGCTTAATCCAAACCCATTTTTCAAAACTGGAAGTGAAGTTCCAGCCACTTCTGTTTGTATGTGTAGACATTTTTATTGGTATATGCCGCCCCTGGAAGATCCAATATCTGGAATACTGAAATTGCCCAACCCCATCTGTAATCAGTGTACCACATTAGTATTCAATCACAATGTTTATAATATCCACAGCTTGGATATCCCCACAATGTATTGGCAACAGCTTCTTAACCCAATGCAAATGACTGGATCAAAATTACAGAGTATAATCATTTCTACTTTTTGTATGAATACTGTTTCTCTTTGGTTCTGGAATAGTGCCATGGAGGATTCCTCACTTTGGGGCACTAGTAAGTTGAAAGACATTGCAAAGCATTTCTAATTTAAATCATGTCTAAGGCATTTCTGATTGGTAACATAATAAACTTCTAGAAGAACTAGTCTAATTTCTGGGTGCTTAGACTCAAAGGCAGGTTCCCCACACATAAAGAAACCTAAGAGTCATTCTGCTTTTAGTTGCGTTGCATGAGAAGTTAATAAACTTCTCTCTATTTCATCTACAGGATGTAAACTCTCGGCCTCTGGACTTTCACCCACTCTGTTCACTATACTAACCTACTCTGATGACTGCATCCCTTCAACTGCAAGCATGCCTGTGAAGTTTTTACTGAGTTTTTCTTCACTGTGTTATTTTTTCCACTCTGTTATTTTATGATTACAATAATGAGAGCTATGCGCCATTAGGCCTGGGTTTAAGAGTGAGTGAGCAAGCTAGCTGGCACATCAGTAAACAAAGGAGCACAGGGCAGGGCTGCAGGCACTCTTTGCAAGAATGAAGTGGTAAATCTGAAAGTGTAGGTGCTCATCATGACAGTCCCCATGGCCATCTCCCCACAAGGAGAGTCTAAATATACAACCAGCTGGATCAGTGCACACCAATTAATGAGGAGCTACATTTTTTGTAAAGCTAGTGATTCTTATGCCTGCTCAAGACCAAACCATCCTCACATATTTTATATATCAGTGATAGCTTGCAGCAATATAATGTTCAAAGGAAAATTATTTCTATCTCAGTAACTTTGAGGATCACAGTTAAGATCAGAGGGAACATGAAAACCCCAAAGGGTGGTGGGCAGATGTGTTGCAGTCCCCATTACAAGGTGTTCCAGGGCTTCAACCTTGCAAGCTCTGGCTCCATTAAACCAATGACTGTCACACAGCAGAGAAGATTATGTTGTAAAGGGTTTCTTTGCACCTGCACCTTGACTCTCCTTAAGCCCATGTGAGATCAGCATAGGTGGGCTGTGGTGGGGTGGTGCTGAAGCAAGACGAATGGGGGCTAGCCCTTGGAAGAGTTTATATACTTATCAATTAAAATGTGTGAGGAGCAGAACCTTCAGCTCTGTGAAAAGGAATGATATTTATTGGGTTTCTCCAAGAGGAAACAATGTAAGGGCACAACTACTTTTGGTTGTCATTCCACCATTTCACTTCCACTTGCTGTAAATGGCCCTTCAGAGAGAAAAAATATTCCCCACACTGATGTTGTCAACAGACAGAATCAACATACAGTGGTGCTCTGCACAGTGACAACAATCCATTCCAAAAAAAATCATCGCTATCCAGATTCGTCGCTATGCGGGGCAAAAAACATCATAAGAATGCATTAAAACACATTTAATGCATTCCTATGGGGAAAAAACTCACTGCTATGCGGCAATCCACCATCCGGTCGCCATTTTCGCTGCCCGGTAAGCGAGGAAAAGGCGCGAAAACACTGCGGCCGGCCATTTTATTTACCTGGCAGCCATTTTGGAACCGCTGATCAGCTGTTGTTTAAACATCGCAATGCGAAAATCAGTAAGTGAAACGCTTACCGATCATCGCAATGCGATATTTAGCCATTAAAAACATCGCAATGCAGATTCGTCGTTAAACAGGGGGCTCGCTATGCGGGGCACCACTGTATTCATGCAGTATGCCATACAAAGCTACAAGATATAAAGCAATATGTCATGTTTCACTAGGTTTGGGAGTCAATTCTATATTTTGCTGTTGTTGTTTTAGTTTCATCATGTGACAAGAAAAAGGAGTTGAAAGATGACAGCTCACAATCAGTGAGGGCAAAAACCTAACCGTTTTTTTTCTTCTTCTAAACTCTCTGGCACCCATTTGCTTCAGGGGACATATCTAGTCCAAAAGAGAGACAGATTTGTACCCTTCTGTCAGTTGCGCTTAGACATTTCTCCTTTCTCCCTTTCAGATTTCAAAACACCATTGGCTTTCAGGCAAATTCAGAATGCTTCTACATTCCATAATTAGAAACACTGGATTTACCACATGAATGCTGATGTCCTTAATGCAGGCTAATGGCACCTCATCATGGATTTATTTCACTGAAAGACTTCAGAAAAATATGTTCATCTTCTTCCAAATATGGTATAACAAGTAGATCATCTATATTTGTATCTATTTGTTGAGCATGTGGCATAAATACAGTCATTATTCAGTACATGCTAAATTTGACTCCTATTTAAGAGTATGCCATCAGCACTCTGACTGCCAATGGCAATGGCTATATAATACTGGGGCCGCCGTAAAAAGTCGGTATAAAATACTTCCTGTCAGGTGATAAATGGAGATTAGGCCTGTGGTATGTGTGTGCCTCTGTGCACAGGAACACACTGTCCTACAAAAGTGGTCCTTCTCAGTGTACCACTCACTTACTGGGTTGCAGGCTCTGAGAAGTGTCCATACGGTAGCACAGACTTAACAAGAAGCCATTCAGTGTTCCTCAGACTGAATAACTAGACTAATCTGTTTATATAGAAATAAATAAAAGGAGGGATACACTGAAATGGAAACTAAAAATGTCTGTGGTGACTGCTCTGTTTTGCATGTGCAACAGGTTTTGCAGTCTATTTACTTTGTCATATATAATTAAGAGAGAACTACTAATGTAGGCTCCATTTTCATATTGACATCATTTTGTGCTGCAAAATTAGAATACTATTATGGGGGGGGGAGATTCTAGTGTATGTGAATATCATGGCAGTTTACCCTTAAAAATACACACATTCTTGATTTAAATTTTGAAGCACATGCACCGCCTATAAAGTACAAATGCTTGGACAACAAAAGCAGCCATTAAATTCCAAGAACTATAGCTGTTTTCGAGCATCTTTTGACTATGAGGGTAATAGCTGACAATGAGGAACAGTAAACTGCATTTGTCACATGCATTACAGCCCCACTGGCAACAGCAAGAACAGGAAATCCCAACTAACCTTATTTAAGATGAAGAATCTAATCAGCAGGAACAGCACACCAGACATCATACCAGATAAAAGTGGGGAGATAAACCAAGAAGAAACTGAATAATAACAATAAAAAAGAAGATAAGTCATTCAGCAAGTGTCAAAATCCCACTCTAAAGAAGAATTATTGCAATGAGAAAGACAATTTATGGTGTTTATTCCTGGCTTTTAAAGAAAGCAGAATCACAGTTTAGAAACTGAAAAGACTGACATACGTATTCCAGCTGAAGTTAAACATTTTCTACTGAATTCAATGGAAGCAAAAGGCATGCATTTCTATTACGTCCACAGAAATCAGCTTGGAAGCCCATGTTTATCTCTTACAATTAGTTCTAATACCAATTAATTCCACAAGCTTCATTGTTTCTCTTTCTTCCAACCAAACAGTATTTTGCAGGGATCCCATCTATCTATTTGCTTGAAATTTCATAGCTTCACATGTAATTTTTAAATTTGTCTTGTCTTTTGCTACAAGTACACTGAATGAAGCATGAAAAATAAACTTTTAGTTTTCAGTCTTGGAAGACATCACAATCTTTTAAGCAGAGCAGAACTTCCAATGGTCAAGGTGGAATAGCTGTAGCCTTATTTTGCTTACGTAGGCCGAACAAACAAATCGGAATCATGTCATATATAGTTGATGATATGGGGCCTGTGCTTACAGACAGAATCTATCCAGAATCACAGTGTGAATTTCGAGCTAACAGATCCACCACTGACATGGTATTCTTCCTCAGACAGTTGCAGGAGAAATGTAGGGACCAACAATGGCCACTCTTTGTGGCCTTCACAGATCTCACAAAGGCCTTTGATTTGGTTAGCAGGGATGACCTTTTTAAAATACTTCCCAAGACTGAATGTCCACCTCAACTCCTTAACATCATCAGGTCTTTTCACGAGAAAATGAAGGGCACTGTAGTTTTTGATGGCTCAACATCAGATCCTTTTGACATCCAAAGCAGAGTGAAACAGGGCTGTGTCCTCACGCCAACCCTGTTTGGGATCTTTTTTGCTGTCTGGACTAGATCAGATGGAAAGCTCTTTAATCTCTCTAGATTGAGAGCGAAGACCAAAGTCCAGCTGAAATGCATGTGGGACTTCCTCTTTGCCGATGATGCAGCTGTTGTTGCCCACTCTGCTGAAGACCTCCAACAACTCATTAATCGCTTTAGCAAGGCCTGCCAAGACTTTGGATTAACAATCAGCCTGAAGTAAACACAATTTATGGGCCAGGGCGTGGACTCACCTCCCTTTATTACCATATCCACACAAGAATTGGAGGTTTAATTGTTGTCTTTTAATTGCTGTAAGCTGCCTTGGGTCCTTTTAAGGAGATAGGTGTTGTAAAAACATTTTAAATAAATAAATATCCTTTAAAGTTGGATTCTAAAACTATACAAAGCTACCAGAATACAGTTATTGAAAACAACAATAGTAAAATTATATGATCGTGTTGCTATTAAACTTTTCTCAATCAACATATGACTGTGCACAAACTGTTACATAAAGAAGAAAATACTAGTTACCAATCTTCACAAGTTCCATCCATTGGACTCCTTGTGTACCAATTGCAACTAATGAGAATCCAATAGTAGCACCTACAATGCAATGTGTTCCAGATATTGGGAGCCTTAAAAATGATGCTATCAGTTGCCAAACTGCAGATCCTAAAGTTGAAAGAACAGACACATAAGTAGTATGAATAATAATATTAAAACACTTTTTACAGTATTTTTTTAGTGATTTTTTCTTTGAAAGTACTGATTTCCCAACCTTCCATAAGCCTTACCGTAAGCCCCTCATCATGTTTTTGTCCATAGACATCCACATAACGTTTCTGGAAGGAATTACAGAGCTCAAATGCCAGCTTTGTCCCACATGGCTTCTGCTTTCTTTATGTTGCAAAATGTACTCCAACAGATCAACACTGTATAAACTGTATTTTTTTTGTCTTAATACGGCTCTATCACAAACAATTTTTACATACGATATCAGTCTGTACTGGATGAAATTTAACAACTTATTTAAAAATCTTTCATTTCACTTCTGCAACCAGAGTTCTCTTTGGAAGGGGAAGCTGTAAGTCAGATCATATAAACAAGCTCTTCACATTTCAGAAATCTACTCAGATGAACTATTTGGTTGGTTTAATTTATCATACACCTCTTAATACAAACTAAGTACCATGTAAAATGCTGTTTACATATAAAAATGCATTAAAGTCATGATGTGGTGTGCAATGAGAAGACACTGTGGTCCTTCATATCTTACTGAGGGCGAGTGAGGGCATGACAGTGAGGTGGATGGGTGGGATGTGTGGATCACAAGGACCACTTGAAGAACCACAATTACAAGTAGGTAACCTGCCTTCGTGGATACTGTGAATCACACTCTGGGTGACTAAAAACCTGGCTTACCCAAAAGGAGGGTGTCATGCCAAGGCAGAAGAAAGTATAGCTCATCCAAAAGAGGCATCAGACTTCTGCTGAACATCTAGCCAGTTGTGTTTGATGAAGGCAGACGGCAGCCAGGCGGCAGATGTGCAGATATCCTGAAGGGGGGGTACCCATGCAGGAAAGCTCTGGACACCACCAAGGCCCTTAAGGAATGCAGGCGGAGAGGCTGCAGTACTGGTGTAAGCACGAGCTGTTAGGCAAGTTGGACAGCAAAGGCAACCCACTTGGAGATGCGTTGCAAGGTAACTTAAAACCCTTTTGAGGGGGGCTGGTAGCTGATGAACAGTCAAGGAAAACATTGAAAGGGCTGTGTGTGGTCCACATAAAAGGCAAGAGCACATCTGACATCTTGAGCAGTGCTTTCCTGAGGAGTGGATGCAAATGGATATACTGTATATGTGTTAACCCCTTAAGAAAACGCTTGAGTATTAGATGCTTGAAGAATTGAGAGGCTGGACAGGTTGGTGATTGATGTACAACAATAGCGGAGAGATATACCCTAACCGATGACATAGAGAGTCCTCGGAGCTTAAGGTGGAGAAGCAGACATAAAACCACGTGAAGAGAAAGATTAGTCAATGACCGGGCTATGAAGAAGAGAAGAATTTCCACTTATAAAAGTTTGCACGTCTGGTGGAGGGCTTCCCAGCCTGATGGACGACATTCATCAAAGAGGTAGATTCTTCCATGCCACCGGATGAAGTCCTGGGACATCTGGGTGGAGGATCTGGGGCCCGTTTTGGGTGAGAATGTGAAGAAAGTGAGGAAGGTGTTAGACTTCAGATGACAGTTGACACAGAATCAAGAACTAGGGTTGACATGGCCACCATGGAGCTACTAGAATGGCATTGGCCTTGTCCTGATGGCGACAGACTACTTTGTGGAGCAGTGGGAATGGTGGAAAGAGGTAACTGAGTGTCCTGGGCCAACATCTGACAAAGGCTTCGCTTAATGTGAAATGCTAACATCTGAAGCTCAACATCAAAAAAATTAAGATCATGGCCACTGGTCCCAGCACCTCCTGGCAAATAGAAGGGGAAGATATGGAGGCAGCGATAGATTTTACTTTCTTGGGCTCCATGATCACTGCAGATGGTGACAGCAGCCACGAAATTAAAAGACGCCTGCTTCTTGGGAGGAAAGTGATGACAAACCTTCACAGCATCTTAAAAAGCAGAGACATCACCTTGCCAACAAAAGTCCGAACAGTCAAAGCTATGGTTTTTCCTGTCGTGATGTATGGAAGTGAGAGCTGGACCATGAAGAAAGCAGACCACCGAAGAATTGATGCCTTTGAATTGTGGTGCTGGAGGAAACTCCTGAGAATCCCCTGTACTGCAAGGAGAACAAACTTATCCATTTTGAAGGAAATCAACCCTGAGTGCTCACTGGAAGGACAGATCCTGAAGCTGAGGCTCTAATACTTTGGCCATTTCATGAGAAGAGAAGACTCCCTGGAAAAGACCCTGATGTTGGGAAAGTGGGAAGGCAAGAGGAAAAGGGGACAACAAAGTACGAGATCATTCAACAGTCTCATCGAAGCGACCAACATGAATCTGTCCAAACTCCGGGAGGCAGTAGAAGACAGGAGGGCCTGGCGTGCTCTGGTCCGTGGGATCACGAAGAGTCGGACAAGACTAAACGAAATGACGAAGCTATGGAAGGACAGAACTTATTGCCTGCTACACAATCTTTTCAATTTAATTTCATATCTTCTTAATTTTTTTGAGAATGATTGTTTTATTAATTTTTTAATATTATTATATTATTTTATACTTTTATGATCATTTACATTAGATTTTAAATACTATTTTCAGAATTGGTTTAATTTCTCTTGTGTACTGCCTGATCAGCTACAAAGCAACCACTCCTAAACAAGTAGCATTCTCAACCCTAGCACACATCCACCCATTATTAATTTATTAATTTTACTGTATTTATGTTTTATTAATTTATTAATATTATTGTATTATTTTATACTTTTATGATCATTTACATTAGATTTTAAATACTATTTTCAGAATTGGTTTAATTTCTCTTGTGTACAGCCTGATCAGCTACAAAGCAATAAAGTATGTATGTATATTTTTAAAATCAAACTATTAATAGGTACAGGCATATGCCTGGACATACAAGGGTTCTCAAATGGTGTGAAAACAAAAATACATGATTGGAGATCCGAATCAGAGTTGTTAAATCACCCATTATACTTTAATGGCCTCAGCAGAGAATGTCAGTGCTGGCACCAAGGGGGGGGCAACATTAATCAGAAAAATGCCTAGTTTCTCAGTGTCAGGTTCTCAGGAAGCCTTTGCTGAAGCCTGCCAAATTCATTATCTACATGATGGCACAGTGCAAGGATTTGTGCTTACTGGTGGTGCCAGACAAGGGTTTATTACTTCAAAAGCAATAAAGGCATGGTCAAATTTCTTTCCCGAAATAGCAAACCCATTCAGTTTTAGAGTGGGCCATTAGCACCACACACATCTCCTTTCGCAAGTTAACAAGTAAAACCAATCTTTCCTGTCAGTCCACTCCTAAACATGTAGCATTCTCAACCCTAGCACACATCCACCCATCCTCTCCTTCCCTCCCCTGCTAAAACTGAGTCCACCTGCTGTGTCATTTATAGCTTCTGACAGATGTATTTTAAGCTAATAATAGACCAACTAAGCAAGTTGGAGTCTTCAAGATGAATATCATATAGAATCAAACATAAGGATGAAATAGATTAAAAGTTTCACTTTGGCAGATGCAATTCTTAGATGAAGTAGACATTGTTAAGATTATCTCCCTAAATCAAAATCTGAATTTCAAATGGATGAATGGTATAATGAACTTTGGAATATAACTCTAAATGATAAATTAACTTGTAATATAAAGGTTAAGAAAGGAGAGTTGAAAAAGAATAGTTTTTATGAACTATGGGGCAGATTCTTGGAATATGTATTAACAAGAGGAAAGGGGAAAGCTCCAAATCAAGAATCAATGCAGTTCTGGAGAAGAGGAAGAGGAAGAATATAGATGGAAGAAGATGATTATAGCAAGAGGTCCCGTCTACGGTGGTGGGGAACACAGTTATATTGTATTTTGATTTGTGTATTTTATGTTTATGTGTATGTTTTAGATAAATAAAAATAAAAATAGAATTGAAAAAAAGAGATAGATTCTCTAACTATAACATTCCTACGAATGTATATCAGACATAAAGTGATGCTCTTGCTTCAGTGTTGTCCAAGCCTGTTCCATTTATGTAAGGCAGAAACACAAGAAGAGAATTTTGGCTTTTTTGTCAATAATTCTGTCTTGTTTACCCTGTACTGAAATTGCCAGAGCAAAAGCCTGATTAGTAAGTCGCAGCAAAAACACCTTAAAAAGTAGATAATTTTACATAGCTTTTTATCATGATCAACAAAGTACAGTGCAAAGAAAAGAAGTAATTTCAAAACTCTACAAAGTTCTTAACTCTAGGAAGGCATTCAGGGATTCAATTGGATTGCCAAAAGCCTGCCTGAAAGGATGGTTCTTCAGCTGTCAGTGGAAGGATAAAAGGGAGGGGGCCAACCTGATCTTCAGGGGGAGAGCATTCCATAAGCTGCCACAGAGAAGACTCTCTCCCATGTGCCCATCAGCTGCGCTGTGCAGGCAATGGGACCAATAGGAGGGCCTCCTCTGATGATCTTGAACACCAAAAGGGCTCATATGCAAAGAATAACAAATATGTTAGAAGTTGCATATTTTCAGAGCTGGCACAAGGTACCCAATACAGTCTGTGTCACATAAAGGATTATGTAACTGTTTACACAGCTACTTGTACAACTATCCCTACAATCGTGCAATTCACTTTGCTAGCATTAACACAGATGTAAGACAAAGTTTTCCGTTCTGTTTAAACCAGGATACTAGGAGGTTAGCATCGACCTACAAAGCTTTTGACAAAATGCCCCATGATATCCTGATTAACAAGCTAACTAGGTGTGGGCTGGATAGGTCAAGTGTCAGGTGGATAGACAATTGGCTACCGAATTGTACTCAGAGGGTGATGATTAATGGGTCCTTTTCTAACTGGGGGGAGGTAACTAGTGGGTTACCGAAGGCTCAGTCGTGGGCCTGGTGCTCTTCAATATTTTTATTAATGACCTGGATGAGGAAGTGCAGGGAATGCTTGTCAAAGTTGCAGATGATACCAAATTGGGCAGAATAGCTAGAAGACAGAAACAAATTCAAAACGACCTTGATAGGATGAAACACTGGGCTGAAAACAACAGAATGAAATTCAACAGGGATAAGTGCAAGGTCCTGCACCTTGGAAAAAGAAACCAACTGCACAGTTACAAGATGGTGGATACCTGGCTCAGCAAAACGACGAGCCGGAAGGATCTTGGAATTGTCATAGATCACAAGCTAAATATGAGCCAACAGTGTGAGGTGGCTACAAAAAAGGCAAATGCTATTTTAGGCTGCATTAATAGAAGTATAGTTTCCAAATCCCTTGAGGTGCTAGTCCCCCTCTATTCAGCACTGGCTAAGCCTCACCTTGAGTATTGTGTCCAGTTCAAGAAGAAAACAAACTGGAACAAGTTCAGAGAAGAGTAACAAGGATGATCGGGGGACTGGAAACCAAGCCCTATGAGGAATGGCTGAAAGAAGTGCTGTTTAACCTTGAGAAAAGAAGACTAAGGGGTAATATGATATCACTTTTCAAATATTTAAAAGGCTGTCATACAGAGGAGGGGCAAGATGTGGTTCTTGATCATCCCAGAGTGCAGGACACGCAACAATGGGCTCAAGTAAAAGGAAGCCAGATTTCAGTTGAATATCGGAAAAAACATCCTATCTGTTAGAGCAGTACAACAGTGAAACCAATTGCCTCGGGAGCTGGTGAGTGCTCCAACACTGGAGGCATTCAAGAAAAACTTAGATAATCACCTGGCAGATATGCTTTGATTGTATTCCTGCATTCAGCAGGGGGTTAGACTTGAAGACCTTGTAGGCCCCTTCCAGCTTCACTTTTCTATGATTCTATGAAGGCCACCATGACTAAATGTGCTAGGAAGTAGTAAACATGCAGAAAGGCTCCTTGCAAATCTGCAGATCAGTAATTCTCCTACCTCCCACCTTCTTCAAGGGGAGGAAATTCACTCAAGGGCCAGAGACAGCACATAATGCTAAATTTGACCTGTGGACAGAAGATACCTCATGAATAGCTCAAAGTCTCGTTTGCTCCTCTGTGTACAAGGCAAACTACCTGAAGCCTTACTAAGAGCCAATGAAGGTGTGAACATCTCCCACATTTTAACTGTGGTTCAGAAGAGACAATAGGGTTGACAGATCCCACACCAAGGCCCCTCTTATCCTGTTTAAATGTTACTTCTGCACTAATTTTACCTACATAAGCTCTTCCTTAACCAGCTCTATTCATTTATTTATTGGATTTCTATCCCACACACCCATACATCTAGACCAAAGGTCTACTCTAAACACTGAGTACACACATTATAAATTCAAGTAAAAAGGAAGCAGCTTATATTAACTGTAAATAATGCTGTCAACTATTAAATGCACTGCAAATCTGTACACAGAAAGGAAAAGAGAATGTGATTTTAAGCCTGCTCTCACCTTTTTAATATTGCCACATTTTTAAAACTCAAGTCCAAACCTACCCACTATTATCAGCAACAAACAGCAAATGTGCACATACAGAAATGTGAATGTCAGATACATATGCTGCAAAATTATCCTGTTTGTCATTAGGAAAAGTGAGCAAGAGGATTAGAAAAACATACAGCTGTTTGAAGAAGGGCAAATGAAGGTTATTTAAAAATGTTACTTACCAACCATTGCACTGACTTCTCCTGCCATCAGTAGATCCACAGTGCTGTTGTACAGGTTCACATCTATTATACCCTTACGAATAGTTTCCCCTACTTTTGCTCCCAGTAGCACTGAACCAGTCGTTTCAAAAATTGAAGCAAGAATGCAGGCCTGGCGCAAAGTGACTACACCAGAGCCCACAGCCGTACCAAAAGAATTGGCAACATCATTTGCCCCAACTGAGAATGCCAAGATAAAGGCAATGATAAAACCCACAATAACCATCCACAGGTATTCATCCAGCGCCATTTTTCTTGGATGTTCTTGTAGATAACCTTCCCCTTTGTAAGTATTTAATTAGACAAAGTTGTAGGTTGCTGAGACCAATTTGTAAAGCAGATTTCTTGCACACAATGAGTTCTCTCTGGAAAGTGCTGTGTAGTGTTGGAGCGTGAAGAAACTGCTAACTGGTGATTTTCAAGCTACTGTCAATACTGTTTGTTTGGCTGGATGCAGTCACCAATGAAACCCATTCCATATTTTGTTCCAATTGTGTTACAGCTTCAGTGACCTCTCCTGCAACAAGAGAAGAGAGCAAGAAAAAGGATAAATGCACTACAAAATCACAAATGGTTTAAATCAACAAATGGATTTAAGAAAGGCATGCAACACTTAGAACAAAAAATGTAGACAAGGTTGTCAGAGTCTGTTTGAAGGTAACAAATAATTTATCACTACCCCTACAATGTTACACTTACAAAACAGTATTTCAGATTACTTTACTGCCTGGCAGAAAGTAGACTGCAGCCCCTTGCGCTCACAAATTATTGGAATGCTTATAAGAAACACTATATCAAGGTGCCTTGTGCTAATATGGAAAAACATTTTTATTTTTTGTTATTACCAAGGATGGGATTCAATATCATCTGAAGTGCAACTAATCAGTGTTGTGTAAAAGATCTTGTGTATGCATTCTTGCTTTGTAAATATACCACACATCAGAGGGCCGCAGGAATTTTAGTATAAAAAGACCACAAAGGACATGTGCTTTATAGAAAGTTGAAAGCATTTTTGTAACTAACACACACCATGAAGGAAACATTATTGGAATAGCAATAATGAAATCAATTATGCTACATGCTGTGTAGCATTTCCTCCTACTTTACCACTAATATTGGATTCATTAAACTCTGCAGTTCACTGCAGGATTATACTCAGGATGTATATTTTCCTTCCTAACAACAGGTTTCATCTGCAATCTTATACATGCAAACTAGTCAGCTCTTCTTAGTAAACATATATACCTCCAAATAAACATACATTAATCAGTAGCCAGACAATCCAAATAATGTTCCAAGGGATTCTGGATTCTATCACTTGTATAAATTATATAAACTAGGCAAATTTAATTTAGTCTGGTTTTGCTAGGCATAGAAGTGGTAAAAGTCCCACATGAACCACCAGAAATCTCATTCAGCTGTCTCTTACATTTTACCAAGCTCTTCACATATACTTACAGGCATATGTTTGCATCTATAAGGACTGGAATTTGAGGACAGAGGGGTGGAGATACACTGCTAATGAAACCTGAAGTTCTTTGTCCAGTGATATTCCCTGGTATATTTCTTGGACTCTTGTGGCAGCATACATTTTGGTCTTGATTGCACTCTATGAGACTCAAATGGAAACCATTCTCCCTGTCATTCATCCATATAATTCTGCAGACCATAAATGAGCTGGCATTTATGTCATTACCATTCCAGCATTGTAATTCTATTATTAGAGGTAATCTAAATCTTTCAGCAACACATGCTAACAAGTTTTTCATTAGGACTTGCAAAAAGCTTTCCCCCCCTTCTGTCTCCTTCATTAGGTGTTTGCTGCTTTTGCTAAAAATCATGAGGAAAAAGTTGAGAATGTAAACCTTCCACTAACAGCTTCCTCTCCTCTTTTAAATCCAAATTCAACACATACTAATTTTGAATTTTAAACACTGTTGTAATTCTCCCGGGCTAAGCTGTACTCTTCCTCCCACTCTAACACATAAAAAGTGCTACTTCTTTGTCAGAGCCTGTTTTCTCCCTTGAACAATGTCTCTGTACATTTCACTATAATCCCACTTAGGCACACTCAAGTGGTTCAGAGGCAATGCCAAAATATGGCTTGCTGCTGTATGAACAAGTCCTTGTGCCCACACTACCCTTTCTCCCTTTTGCTGAGAAGCTAGAGCTGAGGGAGAGAATCTGAGAGCAGTAGAGGAGCACATGAGGACAGGGCTCCTTCGTATAAGATCAAGTCATGGTTTAGCATTACCTCTGCCACAGAACCAGCTCACACTGACATTTCTATGCACAAAAGTAGCAAAAAACATAAGTCTGGAGGGTACAAGGAAATGTGCAAAATACTAAAAAGGGATAACTGTACGACTAAAAAAACACTGTCTTGCTATTCCCATATACATAGAGGAAGTTAGAATACTTTTTGGAGATGAGTGTTTCATGCTGAGAAACATACAAGATGGGTATAGTAACAGGAACAGAGTATGTTCAGCAGATTCTATTCCTGAAATCTAGCTTCATGTAAAAGAATTATTCTTACAGTTGTAGAAAGGAAAATGTACAAGCAGTCCCAAGAACAGCTGGCAAACTAAGTGAAGGAACAGTCAAGTCTTTGGGGCATTTTTGGTGTGCAATGACAATGTGAATGAAATCAACTGTTTATTAATTTTCATAAGTGACCTTTCTGCCATATTGCAGTAAGCAAACAAAGATTAAACAACTTTTTACAACGTAACAGGTAAAATCTCAAAAGAAAGAAATTCATCAATTTTTCACTATGTGAAAAAATGCATGAAGGAAGCTTCATATGGCTGCTTTTAACTATTGGGATGGGCAAGGAAAGAGAAAAGGGGCAAGACAGAAAGCTTTGTGCTTGTTTCAAAAAGTTACTATAAAAACAAAGATAACTGTGATCTAAGGTGTGGTGCTCATCCCCGTTTCCAAGCCATAGAGCCAGCGTTTGTCGGAAGACAGTTTCTGTGGTCACATGGCCAGTGTGACTAGACACAGAACGCCATTACCTTACCACCAAGCTGGTACATATTTATTTACTCACATTTTTACATGCTTTCGAAATGCTAAGTTGGCAGGAGCTGGGACAAGCAACGAGAGCTCACTCCGTCGCGTGGATTTGATCTCACGACTGCTGGTTTTCTGACCCTGCAGCACAGAGACTTCTGTGGTTAACCCGCAGTGCCACTACATCCTTAATCCCAAAGAAGGGCAGTGCCAAATAATGCTCCAACTACCATACAATTGCACTCATTTCACACGCTAGCAAGGTTATGCTCAAAATCCTACAAGGTATGCTTCAGCAGTACGTGGACTGAGACCTCCCCGAAGTACAAGCTGAATTTCGAAGGGGAAGAGGAATTAGAGACCAAATTGCTAACATGCGCTGGATTATGGAGAAAGGCAGAGAGTTCCAGAAAAACATCTACTTCTGCCTCACTGATTATGCAAAAGCCTTTGACTGTGTGGATCACAGCACACTATGGCAAGTTCTTAAAGAAATGGGAGTGCCTGACCACCTTATCTGTCTCCTGAGAAATCTGTATGTGGGACAGGAAAAGAGGTTACCTACCTGTAACTCTGGTTCTTTGAGTAGTCCTCCGTGAACTCACAGTAAAGGTTAATCTGCACCTGAGCAGAGCAGTCTTGGAAACTTCCACAGCTTTAAGCACTTAGTGCTGGGACCTCCCCTGCACCTGGCTATGTAACTCTGCCCCCGGCCCAGTACTTCAGTTCTTAAGGAACTGACTGCAGCTGTCCAATATGCCATGGCACACGTGACGGACAGCGGGGAGGAGGGCGGGATGTGTGAATTCACAGAGGACTACTTGCAGAACCAGAGTTACAAGTAGGTAACCTCTTTTCTCCTTTGTGTCCTCTGTGAATACACACTAATGGGTGACTGGCAAGCTGACCAACCAGGAGGAGGCATGTCACGAAAGTGCAAAAGCCAGGACAGCTCGCCCTACTACAGCCTGAGCCTTTGGCCGGACAACCAGGCGGTAGGGCAAGATGAAGGGAGACGGAGTGGCACACATGGCAGCGCGGCAGACATCCGCGACATTCACGTGACAGAGAAAGGCCATTAAGGATGCCAGAGCTCTAGTAGAGTGAGCCCTCACTGATTATGGAACAAGATTCTCTGCCAAATCATAGGGAAGGCGGATGGTCTGGACCATCCAGATAGACATGGTCTAAGAGGAAGCTGCTGCTCCGAAGGAGAGCCAGCAAAGGTGACAAGGAGACACTGTGAGACAGAGCACACTTCACGTATAGAGTGTGCAGAGTTATCTCAAGCAGTGAGGATGGTGTGGGAAAGAAACCAGGAAGGACAGCTGGCTGTTTCATATGGAAGGCAGAAAATACCTTAGGCAAGAAGGTAAGGCCTGGCCGTAAGGTTACTTTGCAGAAAGGAAGACTGGCTCTTAGTGTAGCCAGTCCTCCAGCCCTGCAAGCTAAGGAGAATGCCAGGAGAAAGGCAGCTTGGAAGATTGCCAAAGAATTAACAGGCGAGACCACCGAGGTGTTAGCGGTCTATAGGCAAGGCACATATTCTCCGGGCCGCGGAGAAATAGCATGCAGGTAGAGCGGGCCAGTCCCCGGCAAACAAGTGAAGAAGAAACCGAAGAAGTAGGTCCAGAGACGTTAGCCTAGTAGGCCAATGTCATCTTGATGCAAAGTGACAGAACGCATAGGTCAAGGTGGTAGAAGGTGTGCAAGCATAATGGAGCACGACCATTACTGACAGGTAGGGAAACCCGAGATCCCGATGAAACATCAGACCCCTGTCCTGAGACAGTAGGTGACGGACCAAGTGCAGCATGATGGTCCCGGGAGGAAGATCATTAGCCTAGTAGGCCAATGTTATCTTGATGCAAAGTGACAGAACGCATAGGTCAAGGTGGTAGAAGGTGTGCAAGCATAATGGAGCACGACCATTACTGACAGGTAGGGAAACCCGAGATCCCGATGAAACATCAGACCCCTGTCCTGAGACAGTAGGTGACGGACCAAGTGCAGCATGATGGTCCCGGGAGGAAGATCAAGAACCATGGCTAGCGAGGTGACCAAGCATGACAGTCGCACCCTCATGGTGGAATTGAACAACAGGCCTTTGAAGAAGGGAGAAAGGGTGAAACCTGTAAAGGAGGCCCCGTGACCAATTAGTCAGGAAGGCACATCTTAGGGAGGTGCGGCTGACACCGGCTCGGGAGCCGAACATGGCACACTACTTGTTTGTTTTGAGATGCAAAAGCATCCATGTCCGTAGTCCCCCATCAACGACAGAGGCAATGAAAGATGAAACTGTTGAGAGCCCGCTCATGAGAGCAGGACTGCAATCTGCTGAGAAGGACTGCCATGGAATTGTTCTCACCTGCCAAATGTACAGCCACTGAAAAAATGTGGCGAGCATAACAGTATTCCGAAAGAAGGCATAACTAGTGAGTGCCGCCCTGCTTGTCCATATATTAAACTGTAGTGGTATAGCCCGATGCGCCTTGGACC